TGGTTTGTTTCGGTGTTGGTGATTGAAATGTTGGTGGTTGCGTTTTTTGTGGTAGTAACAGCAGAAATTGTACCTGCATTTATTGCGGTATTTGTGATAGCTACGCTCGCTGTGGTGGCGGTGATGACAGTAGGTGTAGAGGAGGTGGAGAGGGCGGCGGAAGAAGAGGGCCCGGCCGACGCGTGGGGAGCGCCGAGGGACGAGGGACGGCTGTGCCTCGGAGCGTGGTGGAATCGGCGGCTGAGGGGCGGAAAGACAAAGACGGCCGCGGAGGAAGTGGTGGAGAACAAAGAAAGCGTCCGGTGACTCCGCAGCGCGCTGGGTTCGGCGCGGCCGTTGCGGTCGCTGGGGTAGAAGAGCTTCGAGTGTATTGTGGCAAAGTTCCCAACCGCCAATGTAGTGGACGCGCGGTCACTGAGGTTGCGTAAAGCTCTTCGAAAACAAACGATGTACGGGGTGCGAAACACTGAAGCTCTATATTCCGTTGGAAAGCCCACAAGTGATTTTCATGATGTGTCCAATTGAGCGAGAACGACCTGGTTCTAAATTGCGAGGGAACTCGTTGATTTCTAGAACGTTACATTCTAAAGAACGGAATAAAATATTGAAGTATAGTAACCCCTCGTTAACACAAATTCCAAGGGACTGAAATAACCGATATTCTTGTGATAAAAAATCGTGTTTTCTGACACACACACACATACATATTCATTACGAGTCTTTGACGGGGCCAAAATTTTGTTCGTTTTACGACAAATTTCGTATTAAGTGAGCTACAGAGGGTTTACCGTATAATTGGTGTTATTACTTTTCAAGATTGAAGTGTTTGTTACTTCTGTAATTCGTTTAATGAAAAAAATTGTATTCTTAATTTATGAGGGAGCTATCGAAAATTACTTTTTTGATTTTTAGTATTTGGATAGTATAGTTGAAATCCCTCAACATAGATATTTTTATAATATGTATGACTCCTCCCACTTATGTAATTTACAAAGTAATATAAACTACAAGATAATTATTTGAAAATTGAAAAGTTAGGAATATGTTAGTGAACAGTTTAATATGATATCAACTGCGATTCCAAGGAAATTATTTTCGAGCGAGGGGTAGATTTTTATAATTGCATTTTATTCTACATTCTATCATAACAATGTTTTCCGTGTTGTTATTTATACTTTTTTCTGAATTTTTGTTACGTAAATAAAAAGGTGGATTTTTCCGTCCTGTAAGTGATTGTAATAATAATTGTCATAAATATCAAGAGATGGACAGTTTATAAGCCAAAACGTCAAAGAAATTATTGTAAAAGATAATGTAGATTAAGTGGACGCATTAGTTCATGAAACGTCGTACTACACAATGAAAAGCGTTGTCCCACTGTTTAAGTGTTTTAATATACATATTCTGTTTTGAGCTGGCCTCGGAGCTGATTGTCTGTAATCTTAAGATAGTAAACATTCAGAACATTTCACGCACGAAAACATCTATCTGGCAATACCAACCTTTCTAAAGGTGAACGCAGCGATGGCGGGCAGCCGCCTGAGCGACGGGTAGTAGAAGGAGCCGGCCGGGTGCGGCGGGAAGCGGCTGGTCACCCTGTACACCGTGCCCTGCGGCTCGGTGGGCCAGTTGGGGGCCGTGAAGGTGAAGCCGTTGTCGGTGCCGGCGTCGAGTGGGTCCGCCTCGAGCGTGATGCTGTCGAGCCACGCGCCGCCGACGCACAGCTCGAACGAGTCGAGCCCGACGAACCAGTCGGGCGAGGGCGCCATGCGCGCCATCAGCGAGACGCGCGAGTGGTTGGCGTCGGCGAAGAAGAGGGCGTCGGCGCGGCCGGCGCCCGAGGGCTGCGCGGGCGCCGCGAACTCGTCCAGCACGCCCGCCGCGCCCTGCGCCACGCTCCCCGGCGTGCAGCGCGTCCGCGCGCCCGGTCTCCGCCAGCTGGCGCACGCCCGCCGACGCGCGCGCGCCCACGCGGAACAGCACGAACGACGGCCCGTGCGAGAAACCTGCGCACACAACCACAACACGCGCTTCTTAGGCAACTGCTCACTGACACGAGGGTTTGTTTCAAATGGAAATGGTTGCGTATCTAATGGACTTCCGTCCCGCAACAGTGCATGTTGCAGTAGGCGCCCGCGGGTGGGTGTTTCAAATATAATTCAGCTGCAGCTGCTTTTCAGTTACCCAACGTCCGTTAGCTTATCTCTTGATGTATTTTCAAACAATAACACAAAGTTACAAAATGAAAATATATTGTTCGTAAGCTCTGGTTCACTAATCAATCGGCAAACCTACTTCGCTTTTGCGGATATCTGGATTTGTATTATTGAACCACCCACAAATTATATCAAATACCTTCCTAAAGGTTTCGCTAATAGTAGCCAATATATCGCAAATAAAGAGTTAAACACTCACTATTTCGTGCCGATTGAATAGCCCCTTCCCGACCTGTAGAGGCCCGGTCGAGAGCTCATTTAAAAGCTTAGGAAATAGGTCATTCTTTAAATTGAGTCATCCCCCCCCCCACAAGCCTGGAAAGGGAAGTTCGCCTACAGTTTGCAGATGTCCTTTTACATTTTTGTTTTCTTGTTTCTTACTCTTTGCACACTGTTCAAACACTAAGAGATGAAATATGAACTAATGAAAATGTTATTTGTAAAAAGTCTACAATTTAAAAAAAAATGAGGTATTAATACAAAACTGCCAAAAATGTTACAATGCAAAAAGTGTTACGTAACTGTCTTGTTGAAAACGACTGTAGAAATTATTAGTCGTAGAAAATGTAGATACATTGCACCTCCAAGTTCTTGCCAACACATGGGAATTCCTAATCGATATGAGGGGAATGGAGAAAGGTAAGGCCTTGTAATAGGAAACCCCACGAATCAATTATTAACGAAGAAGGACGTAAAGGGAAAGTATTGTTTTCTTAAGGGTGACAGAACGATGATTGCTATTCACTGTTTTTGCAGAGATGAACTAAAAACATTAAGATTTATCACATATCAACATTTTGGTCGGTGCCTTAATTAGAAAAGATTAATTCAGAGAGATTACAGCAAAATAAAATTAGCATTCTCACAGTTCAAGCATAAGACATAGTTTCTAAAAACATCGTAGTAAACAATATTATGAAAATATTTATCTTGAAGAATTGAGAATTGAACCTTGTCACACGAAAACTGTATTATCTCATGAATTGGGGTCAACTACTATTAATACTTAATTCTTTGGGTTTATAGTTCTTCCAGTAAACAACATAAATTTCGAAAAGAGATTTATATAAAGAACTTCATGTCAAAAAAATATGAGTTATATCAGCTACATTATTGTGTTTTTTATTCATACGCTAATTGTTATCTGTGCCACACGTACATATTAGAATATTTTCAATATTCTACGACGAAAGTGGGAAAAAGTGATAGTTTACAAGCGATAACTTTAGTATTCCGTTCTTCCAGTTCGCATCTGGCGTTCCCTTTAAATGAGTGTGTGTTGAAATAATCATAAATACATGATATTAATAGAAGGAACTATGATATATTGTAATTAATTCGACAATTACATTAATTACTTTGACATAAATTTTACACCCAGATGAGAAAAGAGATAATTGCATAGACACCAGAAAATTTTGCGGAATCATAGGAGTGACTACTGGAATGCAAACAACAGGGGCGTTACACATGACTATAATCACGTTCGAACAGTATCCGATATATACACACACTTCATTCATACGCACATGAATAAGGGGAAAACTCATACGAATTTGACTTTTCGAATATACCGCAGTGTCATGCACGGCAACCAACCATGGCTGGCGCTCGTATTCATACGCAGATACAAAGTAAATGGGACGGTCTCGTAATAAATTCCTGCGGCGTACAAATTGGGAATGGGACGTACAAAATCCATGTTGGAAGGGAAACACATTTCTCAATAATCAATCATTATTGACAACACAATGCACATCAGCGCCAGGATAATGGTACTAGGTATTTGACTTATTCCAACGCGTATCCCTCAAATGCTAAAAAGGTCATTTATCATAATTACGAATGACACCCCGGCTTCGCTCTAAGCCTCAATGGATCGTCGGCATGTAAAAGGTAGTAAGCGTCTGATAATAGCAGAATCAAAAAGAAAGATTGTAGTCTGTTCGGCAAATCTTGATTTTAATCTTATATTTCTGTTATAAAAATTTCGTATATTTATATATTAATAGAGAATATCATGCCGCGAAAAATTGCTCGCCAGAGTTTGGCATTTTATGGTACACTTTAATTCACTGGGAACAGCAATCATTTTTTTGCAAAAACATTTGTTTCCAAATAATGACGGCATCCCTATTAACGTGCAACAAAAAGTGACAGCACGTGACAAAACGTTCGCAAGTCAATCATTCACAATCAGCACAGTTATTAATCAAATAAACTCGGAACCCACTGAGAAACTATGGAAAGTAATTAGAGAAAAAAACAGGAATGTTTAATATCGAGTGCCCGTATAGGGAAGCATAATTAATTTTCTTTTTAAAAACACAGAAAATTTGAATATATCTTATTCAGAAATTTCTTATATCATCGGAAATTTCAACAGGTTTTATACCCAGAGAGTTAAATTTAGGCAAAACTTGACCGAATAAGATTTGGAATCTTTTCTGTTGTATATCGATGCGAAATTATGAAATGAATTTCATCACAAGGTGATATATAGTCTCACAGCATTAAATCATATTTCAGAAAAACATAGTCCAAATCTTACACTTTAGAAATGTTTCAATGATAAAATGAACAAATTCTATTATTATACAATTAATATTATTGTTGTTTTATTTTTAATTATTAAATACTTAAATTCCTGTGAGAATAATTGCACTAATTTTTTCCTCTCGTCCTCCACAATCTTCCATTCCTTAATATTTATTGCTAACACAAAATTCATACGACTACATAAACTTTGTGATCAAAATGTTGTGAACGATATTAGGTTTGGCGTAAAACCCGTTTGTTATTTGATATCTTTTTTTCACGAGTACAGTAACTCCATTTCAACAGACAGTTCTTCGAACTCGAGACTAAAGATAATAAAGAGATACTAGTGCGTCGGACACTTGTCGATATTCTCAAATCCCAAAGCTTCTTCTGGAGCAAACAACCCCCGTCAAACGCCAGCCACAAAAGCGTTCGAAGAGCGCGCATTACCATGACCCGTCCATTTGGCGGACAGCCCTGCAAAATACAACGCGGGCCGGGTGCTTCGCAGTTTTATGGTTGCGTGAACCCAATTACTGTGCGAGGACGGAGGGGTGGGTGTGGTGGTGGGGTGGCGGCGGGGGTGGCGGCGGGGGGAGGGGAGTGGGGACAATCGAGCGCGAGTGAAGTAAAAATCGCACGTGAGCTGGGCGGCCACGCCGGCAGCGGGCAAAGACCGGGGCGTCGGGGGTCGCTAAGCGAGTTAAGTTGGCCGTAGAAGCGGTGGGGAGACCCGCGCAGGAACGCTATCCCGACGCGACGCCGAGTCCGACAATGCTCCCCGCATCCGCTATCGTACTTTGCCCCTTGCGTCTACGTTCTCTTTCCTTCTGCTGCAATCCTTACCTTCGTACTCATTTGCGACAACTTGCTCCTCTCGTTTACATCCTCTCCCATTTTTCTCCTCCTCTTTTTCTCCGCGCAAGGGGACGCTACTGCTTGCCACCACTGCTGGATACTTTTCTTTTTCTCTTCTTGCTGCAAGCTTTCCTCTCCCCTTCCATCTCTTCCTCCTCTTTTGCGACAATTGCTTCTCCCTTTCACCTCCTCGTTTTCCACCTTTTCATTCTCTTCCTTCTGCTTTTTTGGATGAAGTAGGGACATAACGAAAACGAAGAAAAGTAAATGGTGACTTGGGTAGCTTTTCTTCGATTTCATTATGTTCCTATTCCATCCCTTCATCCTTGTTCTGACTTTCGTTCTCCGCCCTCTTCACTGCCGCATCTCTTTCTTCGTCGCTACCATCATCACTACTTCCATATCACTGTCGTTTCCCTTCTTCTTTCTTTAACACCCTAATTTCTTTCCTCCTTTACTCATCCTCCTCCTCTGCTGCTACCACGCAATTTGTCTAGTGACATCCCATCCCTCCCCGTTCTCCTTAATGCTCCTGCCACTTCCTACCCTGCCACCGTCACCACCCTGCAGAGCCGACGCTTTGCGCCACGTACTCTTCGCCTCTTGCCTCAAGTCCCGTGTCCCGCCTCTTCCACCTCCAGCCTCATTTTTCATCCACGACCATATCTTTGGTGCTCGGCCGATGAGGGTCTTACCTCTACTGCTCGCGCCTCCTACTCGTTCTCATGTACTCCGCTGGAGGAGAATTCGTGCGGCGGACTGTTGTGATTGGTAGTTTTCCATGGTTTATTCGATCTACACCAGGCAGATGCCGGAGCAGAATCCTGACAAACGGGCCATGGAATGCGCGCGATCTTTTCTTTCTCTTCCTTGTAATCTCGCCTCTTACTTACACACACTTACATTTACAATTAGTACACTACCACTCATACTGGGAGTGGGAGCTTAGAGCTTGTTACGACTGAAGCAATGTGACTCTGGTGGGAGATGCCTGGCTGGGGAAAACCACGCGAGTCGACATGTAGTTGGATGCCGGATTACTTCTGTCAAAGGGGAAACATCACCACCACCATCACCAAGCTCGAAAACACATGTACAACACCTACAGGAATAATGACCATAGCAGCTGACGTTCTCGGAATCAATGTACGCCCTATTTTCTCCCTCGCCTTTTTCCTTCTCCTTCATTTTCTCAATTCTCACTGGCACATGCTGACACCTTACAATTGTTATTATTTCTTCTCTCTCCACACCACCACTTCCGCCGTCACCAATTTTCTGTCCCAGTCGGAGTCAATTCGTTTCTCTCAGCTTACCGGTCCCCTTCGTCACCTACGCAGCAGGACTCGTCACATTTGCTAACTCTTTTTCCGTCTCCCTTTCCAACTCCCTCCTTCCTCCTTCTCCGTATCCCTCTCAACCTCCTTATCATCGTCTACCTGCTTCGAATCCTCTTTCCCGTTCTCCTTCATTCGTTTTCATTTTGACTCCCTCACGACCTCCTTCATTTCACATCCACCACTTCTACCTCATTTGTACCACGCCTCTTCTAGTTGTCCTCCACTTCCATTTCCTGTAGTGCCGCCTCCACTTTCACATCCACTTCCTAATTCTAACTCCTCCTTTTTCCCTTCCCCTCCCCTCTCCCCTGCTTGTTGTCGTGGCGCTGGGGGCGTAAGTAGCGGGGCCGAGAGTAAAACGCCGCGACGGAGCCCAGGGGCGGCGAGCGGCCTCAGAGACACCTGCGGGCGCCGCGCCGCGGGAAGTAGCCCGGGAGCTGTAATGGTGCCGGAGGGGGAGGGTTACGGAAGGCAATATGCTGCCAGGAATTTTGTGGCCGGGCGCTGGTTTTAATGCGAGAGTTCCAAGCAGGTAGAGAAGTTTCGTCGAGTCGGGTTGTGTTGTTGATTGCATGATATTCTTGGTCGACTGAGTTTCGGACGCTTTTAGGACATGGTCGCTTTTAAAATCCAGGACGAGACAATCTCTTCACCAAGAGATGACTTGAATGTTGTCATCTCACCTGGACGTGACGAAAATAATTCAGCGTTATGTTTATAAGGCACCATTCTGAAAATATTGCTTCGTTGGAGAATGACAATGAAATCTCTGACGTGATAGGTGTACTGTAACCACGAATGTCTTTATTTGCTCAGAGCTCTTCGGACCACCAACTTCAATGCCTTACGAGGTCGTTTATGAAATGAGACAACTACATAACGTCATCTGATACCTGGCATGTTATTTATGAAGATGGCCTATAAGTGAGCGAAAGAACACTGTGCATCTTGCAAGTAAACATGAATGTGGTATAATTGCACCCATTTATTTTAGTCTATTATACACAAAACAACCACACCGACTGTATTATTGTTATAATTATTGATAATGGAATGGTGAGAGATTTTTGCAAGGAAGAGAAAAGTGTTGGCAGTTCAATTTTCCGAATGCTAGAATCACAGGTTTAACTTAGCGCATACATGTAATGGTCAGCAAATACATTTTTCACTGCAATATAAAAAACTATAATTAAAATATTGTGAAAAAATAAACAATTTTTTTCACGCAGGTCCGAGAAAAGTGAAACTAGTGTGTCGATAAAGTAATACTAGTTGAAAATGTCGGATAATGTATATTTTATTTTCTATTAATTAATTTACTTTTTTTAACATCATGAAGGAGGTAAAAAACCCAAGAATATAGGTGTTGTGGTGCGTTATCGTTGGCATTTTTCATGAAATAATTATAAACGTTGTCATTGCCAAAAATAGTATTTATTGCAAGAGCAGCTTTGGATGACTTAGCCATCATCAGTTGTCTGCTGACTACTCGTAGTCGTTTTTGTGGCTTCCATTCAGCAGACAACTGATGATGATGGCTAAGCCATCGAAAGCTGCTCTTGCAATAAATACTATTGTTGGCAATGACAAAGTTTATAATTATTTCAAAAAATCCAAGACGAAGATATGAGAAATGTTACAATGGTATATGTTATCCCGGTGCGACAATAAAAATTCAGAAAATACACATTGATAACTGATAACAATTGTATATTACTTAAGTTATAAATTACCGATAACTAATAAAACAAATTGCTTATTACAAATAAAGAGAGTGCACTTGACAATACATTAAAACGCAAGAAAATATTTCAAGAGTATTTTCTGAAGTATGCAAGTATATTTCAGTAAACATTTTATAAATAAATATATATCGTTATTTTGTAGATGTTAAAATACAATTATTTTCTACGATATATTTTTTCTTTGTTAAAAGGGATAACAAAAAAATTATGGCACTCAGTTTGGAAAATGAAGTGCTTAAACGAGGTATGTAGTTTTATCATCATGTCTTGGGAAACAGGAGAATAATGTCAGTTATAGAAATAAGAGGCTCGAATGGTAATGAATGGGGGTCACTTATTTTTCAATATATTTTGCTCCTGCTTACTTATATTTTGCATGCGTAAGTAGAAAATATTTAATTAGGGAAGATGTATATACCATCATGAGGTAAAGACCTCTGGATATCTATGTCATTGTGATATCCAATTAAGATAGAAGAGATGTCCCATTAAGATAGAGTGAGATATCCAATTAAGAACGAAGAGGATATAGAGTGAACAGAATTTAGAAGAAGGAAAACACGCAATATGGCAGTTGCGTCAATTATTTGGAACAATGTTACAATTTAAAAAAAAATATATCACACAATTGTGCAAAAGAGTGTACGAGATTGATACAGAGATACTCGATACATTAACAACTGAATGAAAGGAAAAAAGGAAGAACATTTTTGATCATACTGATGAAAAGACAAAAGTGGTCACAAATTAAAACATGTAAACAACTTGAATAAAACGTAAATCCTACTTAATACACCTGAAAACATTGGGATTGGTACTGAGATCTGAGAATAATGCTAACAGAAATATGGTTTTCAAAAATATAATACTGGAAAACAACAAAAAGAGAGAAGAACATTTTCTCTTTCGAAAAGATGTTAACGAGTCAATGAAGAATAGGAATGAGAGAGAAGACTGGAGAATGTGAAAGCTTATGTGTGAGAAACGTTGTATAAGGCAACTCCACTCGCAGTAGAAGATAAAAAAAAGGTCCAAAACATTCTCGACTTGATCTACAACTTCGCACATACAGAGAAAAAAATAACAACTTTTCGAAACTTTACATTTCAGATAACAACGGCTTCAGTTATCGCGCACTCCCTAGTTTCAGACACTCAGTCGAAAATTACAGACAATATGAAATCTCGAATATCCAGTGGTGATAAAATCTATCACAAGGACGAACGCCACAGGCAATTTGAGAATACTTCGAAAATATGCATGGTGATGCTTCTCCATCGTGTTTTACTGAGAAATTTCGTACCTACTATGAAGACCAGTCAGATGTGGAATTGACTCCAAGGCTCTGTCGTATTTGCTGCCGGTCTAATGACAGTTTTATTTTTATTTCACGACCTCTATTTTTATTTCACAAGAAAGTTAACATTTATTGCCATCATCGTCCTATCCAGGATTGGAACCTACTCCGCGTTCGCGGCCCGGGTGCCTCTGCGGGGTTTCTCCTCCCCTTTGCCCCCCCATTTTCCTTCCCCCACTCCCCGTCGTGATGGACGCGACGCGCACCGTCGCCGCGTCCCTCGCCCCAAACGTTCTAATCTCTCTCCGCCGAATTTAGGAGCTAATAAAGAATTTGGCGGTCGTTTCGTCCGGTCGATAGGTTATTTCCCGGCGAGTTTACTTTTTCCCGCGGCAACGGCCGCCGACGAAGACAAAGAGATCGGAGCGGGAGCGTCACGCACTGGGCCGAAATGAGGAACGCAGTAAATAAATAATAAATAAGTGAACACGAAAAAGTCGATAAACAAATGCGCTAGCGTACCAATACGCAAATACATAAAAATGTCCAGAGTACAACAAAAACGAGACATCAGATAATCAATGCGCTATGAAAACGACAAGAAGTAAACTAACAAACGAATGCGTAACTTGTTTGGCTCAAAGACACATCCACGTAACATCGCAGTAATATTGGAGAACAGCAAATAAACCATTTATGTGAACAGAATATAAAATATATTCTCTTGTCTCACTATAGCAGTGTTATTATACAACTAGTGGATGTGGCAATGATTCACTATTGCAATGTATTAGACTACACATGTAACTGGTCACGTGATTGTTAATTACGTTTTGCGCTACGATCTGCAAACATTTCAATAGA